CTGCAGACCCAACATATATGGTGCGGGCAGTGCCGAGCAATGCATCAGATACTGTGTATTGTACAATGCTAGCGCACAACGCCATCCATGGGGTCATGACCGGATTCACTGGATTCATCACTGGACCTGTCAACAGCAAGTACTGCTACATTCCCATGGAGGTGAACTTGAAGGCTCTCTCTCTTTCTCTCTCCCCATCTCTCCCTCTTCCTCCTCCTCCTCCTCCTCCTCCTCCTCCCCTTCCTCCTCCTCCTCCTCCCCTTCCTCCTCCTCTTCCTCTTCCTCTTGCTGCTGCTCCTCCTCTTCCTCTTCCTCTTGCTGCTGCTCCTCCTCTTCCTCTTCCTGCTGCTGCTCCTCCTCTTCCTCTTCCTGCTCATACTCTTCCTCTTCCTCACCCTGCTTCTCCCCCTCCTCTTCCTGCTCCTCCTCCTCCTCCTCCTCTTCCTCTCCCTTCTCCTCCTCCTCCTCCTCCTCCTCCTCCTCCCGCTCCTCTTCCTCCTTCCACCCAATCCAACATCGATTTGATCGTTTTGATGAAAAATAATAAAATATGATCCCATTGAACCACCAATACACCCGGGCCTGGAGGTGCTCCACTGCGCGCCAAGCTTCGCCAAACCGCCAGCAGCGCTTTTTTTTTTTTGGTTGGCGCCGCCAGCCATTGTGGTCCAGTAGTCCCGAGCCGTGAAATTTTCGGAGTAGGTGACAAGCATTTTTTCCAAAGGGGGCGGGGGCCGGGGGCCGGGGGCCGTGTACTGGCGGTATAACTTGGCATGGCCTTGTTAAACTTTTTTTTTTGCCAGACTACTCGGCGTCCTCACGACTGGACTTTTCCTTTTTTTTTCTTTTCTTTTTTCTTTGCCACTGGACTTATCCTGGTTTAGACCAGGTTTAAACTTTAAAAGGGGGGGGCAACTCAGAGATGCTTGGGAGAGGTGCTTTGGCCAGGGGAGGAAGGGACAGAGGGGAAACCCTCAAAAAGGATTTCCAGCTGGTCTTCTGCGAATGGTCCTTGCTCCAGCCCAGGCAGAGTCCCAGAGGTGCTGTGTTTTTTTCCCAGACCCTTTCCCTCCCTCTGAGCGGACCAGGGTTTTTTTTTTTTTTTTTTTTTTTTTTTTTTAATGGACCAGGTTTGGTTTGAGGGAAGGTTCAAATTTTCCCAGTCGAGTTATTTTTTGGATGGACAGGAGGCTGGTGGGTCTCAAACATTAAATCTGGAAGCTTCCGTATTCCCTTCAATACCTATGTTCTTGTCTTATGTGATGTTCATGGGACGCTGGACCCGGTTGCCAGCAGGTGAAGCTCCCTACCAATAGTTGGAGCGGTTATTTATATATATAATATTTTTATATTTTATTTATATGTATTAAAAAGAAAAAAGATCACTGACTGGCTGCTCCAGATGAGGGGAGTAGTTCCTCCCACCGTCTTTTCCACCCAAGTCACATTTATGGACTACTGCCCTCTGTACACTTTATTCAAATTTTGTCCAACTGCCATCATTACAGCTGTATTAAAGGGGGCTTAAGGGGGCCGGACAACTTTCAGCCTATATACAGTTTTTTTTTTTTTTTTTCAATTGCTAACGTTCTATTCGGGTGAAGATGGTAGGATGGGGAGAGAGG